TTGGTTGACAGAAATATGGCCAGAAACTCACAGGAACTGGTGGGGACACTTGCAGTGTAAACTGCTCAGTGCCCGTGGGGCCTCCATAGGACATTATACCGCAAATCCTGAGAATTGACTGCGTTATTGTCCTTCTTTTCAAACAGATGAGGAAAGAGGCTCAGAGAGATTAAATAACTTGTTCAGGTCCGTCCTGAGTGTAGTGGCCTAGTCAGGATTCAAATCCGGATCTTGGCTCAGCCCAGAGGCCTGACCACGTGAAGCCTTCCTTCTCACAGCCTTGATTTCATATGTTTGGGGCTACAAAGTCAGGTTCCTGCGGGGGCCAGGCAGGTCCAGCAGGTGGTGAGGGAGGGTCAGCGGCAGGGCAGGCCTCGTGGAGAACACACACCCTCTGCAGGCAGTCAGCTGGGAGGCAGGCCCGGGCTGCCAGGTCATCCTTTTGTATCTGCTTTTTTAAAATTATTTTTATTTAATCCTCACCCCAGGATAATTTTTCCTTTGTCCTTCTGAGAGAGTGAGAGGGAGGGAGGAAGGAAGGGAGGGAGGGAAGGAGAGAGGGAGGGAGGGAGGGAGGGGGAAGAGAGAGAAACAGGGATTCGAGAGACAGATCTATTGGATGCCTACAGCACACACCCCTCTATGCCAGGGAGCAATCCCACAGCCCAGGTACATGCCCTTGACTGGGAATCCAACCGGCGACCCTTCCGGACACAGGCTGATGCTGTCACTGCTGAGCCGCCCCTGCCAGGGCCTTTGCTTGATGCTTTCTCCCCACCCTCCCAGAATCTCGATAGCTGAATGTTGATGTGAAACGGAACATTTTTAGAAATATTGAATAACCAATTAATTTAAATTAAGTCACAGAGACCATGTGGGCCTCACAGGGCCCATCTGTGTTCACATGGAGTCCATGAGCCTCTGGTCGTTGAGATTTCAGGTAGAACCCTTCCCTGGAAAGCCAGTCGGGTAATTATGACGATGATGATGATGATGATGATGATGATGATGATGATGATGTCAGTGGCTTTATTACTTAATGCTCCAGAATCTCATTTTATTTGTCTCAGGAGTTGGGATCAGAAAGGGACTTGGAATTGGGGAGAAGAGCTTGGCTAAGGCAGAGTTTCAGAGCAAAGATGTTCTGATTCCAAGTTTCCTTTTTCCAAGGAGGCGGACATGCAAAGCCTCACATGAGAAGGATTTTCACAGGCTGCTCTGTTGAAGTGTGTCCGAGCCGGTCTGTGCTGTGTTTCAGCCCAGAGTGTGGCAGCCGTGGTTGCCGCCTAGAACCCCAACGGACACAGTTTGGGAACCTCTGATTGTGCTCAGCCCTCATTTCCACAGGGGAAACCTGAGGCCCAGGGAGGATGTGGGTGTGATTGTGGTGAACATGGGGCAGAGGCTGGGAGTGCTCCTGAGCCCTGGGATGTGTGGCTCTCCAACCCCAGGCTCACTTCCTGGACTGAGGTGCTGCAGGGGGAGCAGGAGGAGCTCCGCACCCAGAAGCAGGAGCTGCAGGCCTCCCTAGAGAAGGAGCAGCAGAAGCTGCGGATATGCCAGGCCGAGTACCGTGACCTGAAGGCGGAGCAACTGCCCAAGGAAATTTTGCTGAACAAGCTGAGCATCCAGTACGAGGTGAGGCCTGGGACTGGTGGGCCCCAGGACACTGGGCCTGAGCCCGGGGCTGACAGCCTGGGGCTCAGCCCACTCCGCCTGGGTCCTCATTGGCGTCTGTGCCCAAAGACTGTGTGGGAATGTCACCGAGAGGACGAGAGGAAGCCAGAGGCATTTAACGGGACAAGCACCTTGGCTGGTGGGAACGTGTTAGAAAAGACCTCTCACCAACCTTTGCTTTTTGTATTTTTTAAATATATTTTTCTTGATTTGAGAGAACAAGGGAGAGAGAGAGAGAGAAATAGAAACATCAATGAGGACAGAGAATCCTGGTTCGGCTGCCTCCTGCACCACCCCAGCGGGGTTCCTGCCAAAAACTTGGGCATATGTCCTTGACCGGATTCGAACCTGGAACCTTAATTCACAGTCCGATGTTCTCTCCACTGTGCTAAAGTGGTTATGGCCTGACCTTTGCTTTTTGCAGGGCCGGGGTGGTGCATGGAAGCAGCCAAGTGCTGTTTCCATTCTGTCCTGGCGGCTGAGCTCTCTGCCCTGTGCTCCCCGGGTCATGTCACTGAATTCTCACAATGCTTTTGTGAGCTGGGGCCCATCCTCATCCTCTGAGGTTGGGTCTGAACTCCGTCTGTTTGAAGCCGAAGCTTGGACTTTCCTGCCACTCCAGCCCGATGATATTCTGGGTCAGGAGTTGACCAACCTCAGCCCCGAATTCCTATCCAGCCGGCATTTCTTTTTCTGATGTCAGAGGGAGGAAGGGAGAGGGAGAGAGCCATGGGAGCTGCAATGACGAGAGAGAACCTCTGATGGGCTGCCTCCTGCACGCCCCCTACTGGGGATCGACCCCTCATCCTGGGCGTGTTCCTTGACCAGGCCTCTCTTTTGTGTACTCCTGTTGCCGGGGGGCCGCTCCACCACCTGAGCCACACACTATGGGCTGCTTCGTAATGACATACTTGACATTCTTTATAAAAATGGCTGTGAAGTCCTCAGAGCCTGTTGTACATTTTGCACGATGGCGCCTCTCAGCTCAGGCTGGCTGTGTTTTCAGTGCTCAGTGGCCACCCGTGGGCAGGGCTGCGCGACTGGCCGGTACACTTGGCCATCCCCATGTCATTGGCTGTGTTGGTCCTTGCGACTGGTGAAGCTCAGGCCGAAATGGCCATGTTCATGCACGTGGCCCTTTTCTCCTTTTGGGAGCAGTTTCCCAGCAGCGGAGTCCCAGGGGCCCGTGGTGTTGAGGACATTATTGATCTGTGTTTCAGTCGCTCACCCGTGCAAAGAAGGACTGGCAAGAGGAGAGAGGTCACCTGAGGAGGGAGAGAGACACCTTGAAAGAGCTGAACCAGAGCATTCTGGACGCATGTGACGAGCACTGGACTGAGAGAAGGTAAGGGGGAGGGGTGACCGACACCTGTCCACACAGGGCTGCGGCTTCCAGCTCCAGGCCCAGGCTGGAAGAGCCCACCGGCGAACTGGTGTCCCCACGGCAAGGGAACAGATCATCTTCCCAGCGCACCCTGCTCTCCTTTCTCTGGAATGGCTCTAGAATTCTGCAAGGAGGGGTGGTTGGATTTTGCTGGCTTCAGAGACATGGCCCACTGCCGGGCGCTTCTTAATCTGCTTTTGGAATTAAGCTCAGTTTAAAAATTATGACAGAGGAAAGAGAGGTACCTAGGGAAGCAATCCAGGTCCTGGGCTGAGCCCTTTCTGTGTCTGATTTCCCCTTGAGGGGCTGGAGAGAGGGTTGTGGGTACGTCATGGTTGTCCTTTCTCTGCTGACAAGACACAGACCTGGCTGCGGTGTAGGCCCTGCGAGGTGCACAGAACCAGTGACCTGGTGGCCACGAATCAGCAGGGGTGATAGGATGTGAGCAGAGCTGTGTGCCCAGCAGACAGATGTTGAGGAGCTCCAAGGAGGCGGAGAAGGAAGCGTGGTGGTGGGACTCGGGGTTCTGCAGCTGACCCGGATGGGGACAGGGCTAGCCAGGGGGGCGGGAGTTGGGGGACGTGAAGGTGGAGCACGGGTGGTCTGGGTGCAGGGAAGGTGCTGGCAGGGCAGGAGGGAAGGCTGGAGCAGGGGGCACTCAGATGTGGAAGGCCTCCATGCCTTGCTAAGGAGTCGGATTCCCTGGGAGTGAGTGTTTATGGGAGGCTGGTCTAAGGGCCAAGGGAGCTGCCAGAGAAGAGGCAGGAGGAAGAGGCTTGGTGCTGGAAACCTTGGGGTTGGAAGTCAAGTGACCCGAGATGCATCTGGTGGGGTCAGGGTGTTCTTCACCTCTCGGTGTTGAGCTGCGGGACTGTCCTTCCTTGTGATGGGGAGTGGCTGGCCATGGGGTCCAGAGGGACATGGTCACAGTGGCCACAGGGGCAGTGACCCAGCCCTTGGGGTCACGGTGCTGCTTCACTTTTCTCCCGGATTCTTCTGCTCGTCTACAGCTGGCTCGCCACCTACCCAGGATGGTTCACAGGGAAAGCCACACTGTAGTTTGGGGTGGAAATGACCGTGGCCTGAGTTGGCTCTCTATAGCGCAGCGGGTACCAGTGACCAGCAGAGGTTGGGTAGGTGCCAACTAGAAGCGTCAGGGGCTGGTACCCAGGGGGATGATCTGATGGTGGTTTTGCATTAGACAGTGTGTGCAGGAGGCCAGGGAGTGGGCAGGCTTCCTGAGCTGCTCCGAGCGGAGTCTTCCCAGCCCAGGGCGGGTTGGAGGCCTGTCTTCTGTGAATTTGTGTGCCTAGTGGTGGGGGTCGGTCAGTGCCAGACAGGAAAGCGCTCTAGCATAAGGCCCTGCAGCACAGCTGAGGGAAGAGAGGAACACAGACTAGAAGAACAGATGCCGAGCCAAGAGCCCTGGGAACAGAACAGGGTTGGTGGTCCTGGGCCCAGGGGTTTGCAAGTCATCGCTTTTCACGGCTGCTCCCTTCACGGTGAACTCTCAGAAAAGCCCGCATATTAGGTGGGACCTCGGCAGCCTCATGGCCAAAGGAGCCTGAGCTGCTGCCTCGATCCAGGGGACTCATTTTCAAGCAAGGAAACCAGGGTCTCTGCCGTCAAGGCCCACGCATTTGCCATCCTGAATTCCACATGGTTGGGGGCTTGCTCTCCTGAGAGGAGGCACAGCCTGATCCTTGGTCCTTCAGCAGGTCTCCTCACGTGTTAGGTTACCCGGCCCCACGCCATGAGCTCCCATCCCCATCTTCCCCACTCGGCGAGCTTGACGGTCATGATCACCGTGATGTCCCAGTCCCAGGGAAATGCTCCCAGTCGGGGCCGAGGAGTCCATTTACATGTTTTATATAAAACCAGACTGTTTTTTCTCCTCTATCTGCAGCGACACACTGAAGACTATGCCTACCGGAAAGGCCTACCGGAAAGGCGGAAGAGGGCAGAACTGGGGAGTCACAGGAGGCTCAGTGTCCTGCTCCTAGGAAGTGAGTTGATTTCAGCAGCAGGAACTTCAACACAGAGCGGGAAGCTGCTCTTTCACGAGTGCAGGACCAGTGTGTGGGGCCCGCACCTTCCCCTCTATGGCAGGTCCCCTGTGCGCACCTCCCTCCCAGCTCTGAAAGAATTGAGAGTTTCTTTCCGTTCTTCCTCGGGGTTATCCTCTGAGGGATGGCGAATGCCAGCTGCCATGTCCTGTTGAAAGGGCAGACGCCTGGATTAGAGCCACTGAAGCAGGACTCTCAGGCTGTGTCTCCAGGTTTCAGGGCCTAGAATGCCATGTTTCTGTTTTGGGAAGGAAGCGTGGGCCGGACACCCGGGCCAGCACCCATGGTCTTAGGTCACAGGAACCTCTTGGTCTTCCCTACATTCCTCTGGAGTCTCTGGACCCCAGGGTGGTTCACAAACACGTTCCCTTCTGCAGAGCAGCAGCCCAGGGGGTGGGCGGCTCGGTCCCCGAGGCTGCGGGATTCCGTCCAGCAGGCCGTCCCCTGCGTCCGGGCCTGAGCCCCAGGAGCTGGGCCTTCAGATTGTCCTGCCCCAGCCCAGCCTTGAGGGCAAATCACCATGAATCCTGCAAGAGCTCTCTGTTCACATCACAAAACCACATAATTTCCCAACCTCCGCCGGTCCCTTGTGTCGGCGGGGACATTGAGGCATCGCTGAAGAAAGTAGAGGAGTTGAGTCAGCACAGTGTTGCTCTGTGGCAGAGCCAGGATTAGAACCAGCTGCGGTTCTTCTTGTGACATTAGAATGCCTCCATTTACAGTTAGCTGCACTGTATTACCCTTCAAGTTCATTGTTTTCATTTATTTATTTTTATTATCACACACACACACACACACATATACATTGATATATATATACCTATATATAGATATATATAGATATATACACATATTCATTTCAGAGAGGAAGGCTGAGGGAGAGAGAAACATCAATGATGAAAGAGAATCATTAATTGGCTGCTTCCTGCACGCCCTCTTCTGGGAATTGTTTCTGCAACCTGGACATGTTGGCTGCTTCCTGCACGCCCTCTTCTGGGAATTGATTCTGCAACCTGGACATGTTCCCTTGACCAGAATGTGATGCTGTATCCACTGAGCCCAACCGGCTGGGGCTATTTTAATTTTGCTTAAACCTCACCTGAGGGTGTTTTTTTTTTTCATTGATTTTTGGAGAGAGTAGAGGGGAACAAAGGGTTGGGGGGAAGAGAGAGAGACATCAATATGAGAGACACATTGATTGGTTGCCATCCAGCACACGCCCCCAGTGGGCCCAGGGATAAAACTGCAACCCAGGTACATGCCCTTGACCCAGAATCAAACCCTTGACCCTTCGTGCTTGGGCCACTGCTCTTACCCCTGAGGCACACCGGCCAGTGTCCACTCTTTTTCATCCACATGGCCCAGCGGGCTCGCCCTGTTCCCCCCTCACCCAGATTCCTCAGTGCCCGGAAGGGCCAAGTCTGCCCGCCTGTTTCACCTATGGGGAGCTCCAGCAGAAAGGAGGAGGTCCCGACTCTCCCTGACAGGGCCCTGGGACGCACAATTGCCAGCACACCTAGATGAGCACAGCACCTCTGCCTGTGCCTCCCAGTGATGCAGAGTGGAGGCTGCATGTGAGGTTCTGTTTCCCGAGAGGCTAGTGCGGGTTTCTGCCACAAGGAACGCTTCTCCGGTCCCTGGGTCTGTGCGAATGAACTGCAAATGGTGCTCCTCGCCCTGAGGCCACATGCGAGGATCGTGGTGCCGGCGACACACATTTGGTGCTGAACCCCAAGTTAACGGCCACTTCCCCGGCTGGAGGGGCAGTGGGGTTGGCAGTGTCCTAACCCTCTACTTCTAATAGGAAAAAGCGCTGGAGCCGAGCCAGAGCCTTCCTCAAGTTCTTCCAACGCCAGAGAGACGGCTCACGAGGACAAGCCAAGTCACCCCCAGACAGCCTTCCTGGGCCCCTGGAGGCCATGCCATCGTGCTCATACTGGGAGGAGGAGGGAGACGCCCGCAGGGGGCCCCCACCAAAAGGTAGGAGGGGCTGGCCTGGCTGCAGGAGGGCAGTGAAGGGGAGGATCTCAGGCCTCCCTCGAGGTCAGGGCAGAACCGACGAGATGGAGCTGGGTGCGCACACGTGTGCTTGGAGCCTGAAGGGGCTCCCCACACCCCCGCCTGCCCCCGAGGTGTGTGAACACCCAAGTAGAACATGTAAGCCCACGTCACTGTGGTGGCAGTTTCGTCCCAGAACCATTTAGTTCCTTCAGCATGAGAAGCCTCCCCATCACCTACACTGTGGTGGGTCCTCGAGTATCCAGAGCGGATCTCCATACAGTTACCGCAGAGACACGCTCAGGAGAGGATGTGTTTGGGGCTCCTTGTCTCTGCCAGGCCTCGGATGAGCCATTTCTGTAGGGTCAGCCCCCATGTAACACGTCAGGACATCTGCCAGGCCTTCAGCCAGGCTCGGGCTCTGCTCTGTCTGTCTCTCTGAAAAGCGGGTGCGGTTCTCTTCTCCCACCTGACCTGGCCCTGAGTCCTCCCACCAGGGGGCGCTGGACCTGCTCCCTGAGGGCTGTGGTGGGAGTGAGCCAGAGGTTCCTTTGGTGGATTTGTAGCTGCATGTGCTGCATGTGTTTCCTGGGATCTAAGAGGCTGTCAGCTGAAAGCTGCCCGATTTTGTGCTCATAGAAAGAAAGTGACCGGGTGGTGGAGGTGACGGTTTTGTCAGAATCGCCACCAGCCGACAGTGCCTGGGAGGGATGCTCCAAGGTGCACCCTGATTTCAGAGATGTAAGGTTGGGGTGTGTGTGTGTGTGTGTGTGTTTTCGTTCTGGCTCCTCACACTTTTTGACATGTATCACGTCCACTTGTGTGATTGGCTAAGTTGATGAATGAGCTGTAATCAACCCAACTGACTTAGCAAAACGTTCTGAGAAAAAACTGCTTGACAGATCCCCGCTGTGGTTTGGATCGGTGAGTGAGCAGGTCAGGGGCTGCAGTTAGTAGCAGCAGCCGTGCGAGGGGGATTTCTGGGCTCAGCAGCCTTTCGGTAGTTGACCCGCTTTGTCCGTCTCCTTGAGTTCTAGCTGCCGTGGGAGGTGGGCTCCATTCCTGTCCCCCGTTCAGAGCTGGGAGGGGAGGCTTGACCAGGGTCAGCACTGGCCCAGAGCATCAGCGTTGGAGCTGGGACCTGAACCGGCGTCTGACAGGTTACGGGCCCGAACTCTTAACCGCTGTGAGCACTGCCTGCCCTTCAAGCTGCTTGGGTCCCTGAAGATGCTAAACCAACTTGGGGCCCCAGCACTGAGGAGTGGGTCCCTTGTCTGTGGTGTGAGCTGTGTCAGCAGGTGGCGCTGTGGGGGAAGAAATAGCAGAGGTGCAGCTGTGCACTTGAATCCTCCATCAGAACTGGAGAAGTCCTTTCTGTTCATGTATTGACGTGTTGAGGAAGTTACTAGACCAATTGTCTGCTCTCATAAGACTAGAACTTAAAGGTTGTGAGGGCTAAACCTAGAGGAGAGGATGCGTCGGGATCTCAACTGGAATAATGCTTGAGCATGAGGGTGTTTTGGTATCAGATAGAGGTAGGTATTTTCATTGTGTGCACAGTCATCCTGCCATGAGAGGCTGTGAGATGTACAAGAATGATTAGTGAGCCCTGCCCGTTCGTCTCAGTGGTTATAGCATCGAAGGACCGAGGGGGCGCAACTTAGATTTCCAGGCAAGCCCACATACCTCGTTTGCATGGTTGATCCTGGCCGGTTGGGGTTTGTGAGAGAGGCAACCAGTGGATGTATCTCTCTACAATTGATGTTTCCCTCTCTCGCTCTCTCCCTCCCTTCCCCTACATCCTCCCATTCACTCTCTCTCTAAAGACCAATGAAAAAAGATCCTCCCGTAAGGACTTTTTAAGAAGAAGTCTTATGACTGAGATGGACTATTTCACTGCACGCAGCAGGCCAGAAACATGCCACTAAGTGTCCCAAGGGTTTTGGAGAGGAGCCGGAGTTAGTTGTGTGTGAGACAGGATGTCAGGGAGCCTGTCATTAAAATGGATGAGTCAGCGCAGCTGGTGTGGCTCAGTTGGTTGAGCATCGTCCCATGAACCAGGAGATGACCTTCTGATTCCCGGTCAGGGCACATGCCGGGATGCGGGCTCCATCCCCAGTACGGGGCGTGCAGAAGGCAGCCGATCCATCTTTCTCATCATTGATGTTGCTATCTCCCTCTCCCTCCCTCTCTCTGAAAATCAATAAAAACACATTGGACCAAAAAATGGATGAGTAAGAAAAGCCGCACCCTACATCAATAAACACCCTTGCTTAATAATTTCACCCATTGATGTGGAAAAACAGTCTCAGGCGTCAACTCCTTGAGCAATACAGAATGCTCCTCTGGTGCCACGTAGAGCCCTGGCTCCAGCTGCCACTCCAACACTTAACTGGAGTCAGAGCAGAAAGGCTTCACCGGGCCCTGATGCTGGTGGTGCTGGGGGGAATGTTGCCGTCTCTCCCGGGCTGCACAGGATTCTGATTTCCCAAGTACATTTGGCGAATGTAGCATCATTTGTCCATTATTCAATCCATTTACTTGCTGTTTTCTGTGTTTTTATGCTTCCTCCCTTGGTTACCCGGGATGACAATTTAGCAAAGGGGCAACGAAAGAGTGCCTTTTGGAGCAGGAAGAAGCAGGACAAAGTCAAAGACCAGCCTCCAGTGGCCAGCTCCGCTTGGTCTAAGATTCTCAAATCCTGCACATCTGGGCACATCCCACCCTCTCCTCCCTAAATAGCCTCTCCCTTTTTTCCCCACCCCGAAGATTTATAATCCTTTCCCTTTATCCCTGTCTTGATCATATACCCTTTATTTCTGAAAATTTAAAAAAAAAAAGTTTAAAAGAAGAAGAAAAAAAAAATAACTCCCACAACAACAACAACAAAGCCCTAAGAAAACCAGTCCAC